GGCTGAAAGGGGTGTGGGAGGGGTAGAGCTGGGAGCTCTCAGGGAGCTGTCTGGTCAAGGGCGTAGCCTGGATTCACAGAGGGCAGAACTTGGGAGGGACAAGTTTTTGCAGATGGTGAGGCTGAAACAGCGGGCAGGGCCATCTTTCCGGAAGGCTTGATGTGGTCGACAGAGATGACACCTGGGTCGGATGTAAGATTAGTACCCCAAAACTACTTTCTTGTTTCTTCGAGATTTGGGGTGGCTGAGGAGGAAAGGAAGAACTCATGATGTAGCCCAGGCTGGCCTGGAGCTCAGGCTCTCCCTGCCTCATCCTGGGGACTGCCATTACGTCTGGTACAACAGCAGAATCTGGTCTCTCGCCTGATAGGTAGGTACCTGGGGGAACTATCAGTTCCATTAGCCAGAGAGAGCTACATTCTAACAGAATCCTCCCAGCCCTGAGTGAGGGGTGAGGCCTGCTAGCCTAAGTCCAGCTTAGAGGACCTGGGCCGCCCTATGCATCCATCTCGGTGGCGACCACTTTTGTCCCTTGGCCCTGCTCAAGAGAGATTGTTGCAGTCAAGTACCTGATTCCTGGAAATCTTCCCACCTCCAGAACTCCCCGCCTGGGCCACCCCGCCCGGCACCTGTCCGTCTAGCCCCTCCCTTGTCGCGAACCCATTGGCCTCTCTCAGAGCGCTGGCAGCGCAGGGATCTGATTGGCGGGAAGTTTCACAGCCCCAGGCTTGCACCGTGGAGAAAGTGAGTCGGCCTCCGGCTGGGGCGGGAGAGGGGGCGGGGCTGGGGCCAAGCGGATCAGGACCCACTGGACACACTGCCCTCCCGGAGCCGGACTCTGAACCCGACAGGATGCGCCGGTCTGGCCTCTGTGGCCACCGCCCCCTCCTCCTCCTCCTGCTGCTCTCAACTGCCACCTCTGCTAGCAGCCCCAGCCCCACCCCCAGCTCTAGCCAGGCCGTAGAGGACTCGGTGGTCCCGGGCCACCAGGCCGGGTAAGCCCACTGCAGACTCTTCTTCCGCATGCATGCTGCACCCAGTGAATCTGATAGTTCCGGAGGAGCAACACCCTCAGATTTAGGAGACTCCAAAGCAAATGCTTTTGATAGGATGCTGTGGTCAAAGCTCTTGGATCTATTAGGAGTCCGTATTTTGCAGGCGCTAAAATTCGAGAAGTGCTGAGACTTCCAGGGTGGTGGGATGGATAAGGTTCCAGCCAATCCCCGAGTTTATTGGGGGATAGTTGTTACCACGGTAAAGATTCCACTTGTCTTAGAATGAGATGGGTGGGGCCCTTGAACTAACCTGGAGCTCCCCAAGTTTCTTGAGTGCCCAACAAAATAAGGTGCTAGAAGGTCGTGAAGAAAAATGGCCGTGTTATGAGTTTCTAGGGGCGCTGAGTTAATTGGAAAGGACTCTATTTTGTTCTAATGGAATAGGAAGACGCGAATGGGCCGCTGGCAGGGGGACTAGGGGAACCTGTGTAGGGGATACTCGGGTTTTCTGGTGCTCTAGTATGCTGAGATCGGAGCTCATCAGGATTAAATGAATTACGAATGATTTGGCGGAAAGATCCAGGATTGTTTTTAACTTGGGGGTTACAGGCATCCATCTCTTCTGCGGGTGACAGGATTGGAGGAGACGGTCTGCCTAGAACCCCAGCCCTGCGCCTGGCATCCCTGCGCTCCGCTCAGTTACAAAGGCCGCGGGCCCTGCTCCCGCCTCGGTCTCTGGGAATGCGTTTAGTAACCCGAGCCGCGCCGGGGGCGGGGCTGGGAAGGGGTTAACCTGGAGAAAAAGAGGGAGGAATGGCGACCGGGTTGGGGGGTCTCGAAGGATCCCCCGTGATAGCCTGCTAACCCACTGAACCCTACTTATCTACAATGGGTCTGAGCATTGGATTCCCTTTCTCAGCATCTTCCAGGGTTGTCTTCTCTGGGCCTGAAGTGCACCGTCATTCCTCGCCCCCCTTTAACTTGGGGATAATGGACTTGTCTGGGGGGGGGGCTGGTTTGCGACGTTCTGGCAGTACCCTGAAGGGGCTGACGCTGAGACCCTGTGGCGCGGAGACATGTCCAGTAAAGACCCTTTACTCTCAGACACTGAAGCCCGAGGACCAGGAGACGCTGGTCCCAGGACGTTCAGCCTGGAAAGGCGGGAACCGGATAAAAGTCAGGCCTCGGGATTCCCAATCCGGGACTCCGGTATCCCCTTCCACCTCAGCACTAAGCTGGACCCGCAGTCTAAGGAGACACCGCGGTGCACAGCCGCTGAGGTCTGTGTGTGTGGCGCCACCTACCGACCAGGCTCAGGATGGCGGCTGAGTACTGACGCGACGAATTAGTGGGCGGAGTTCTAGATGCCAGACAGGCCGGGCTTGGAGATGATGCACTTAGGGATCTCTTTTGACTGTTTCTTAAAATCATTTTAAGCCTGACGTGGTGGCTTACGTATGTAACCTTAGCATTAGAGGGGATGAAGTAGGAGGATTGTCGTGAGTCTGAGGACTTCCTGGGCTACACAGTAGGTTCTAGAACAGTCAGGGTTACCGTGTGTGACCTGTCTCAAAATGCTAACGAGTTTGAGGCTAACCAGAGCTACATAATGAGACTCTTTGTCTCGAATAATGATGATTGATGATGATGAATTTCATAAGATACATAGATGTAAATTTTTTGTAGCTTATACTGAAAGCCTAGGCCAGTTTGCCTCCTCTGGTTGCACAGGCATGCAGAGAAATGCCTCACGTTGAGTTACTTATCTGCTTGGGGTTCCCTCAAGTCTTGTCTTGGTTTCTTTTCTGTGATCCACCCCTGCCTTCCTTTGGGGAGTTTTGGGGTGCCAGGAAGCTGAACAGCCCCGTTCTTCTCTTTACAGTGTTGCTGCCTGTCTCTGCTGCCTAGGCCAGACACCTAGGAGGAACCGCTGTCCCAGAGGTGGGTTCTTCCACATGGGATGCGGGTAGGTAGGGGGTGAGAGGTTGCCTTCCCCAGCCTCGCCCAAAATGAATAGAAGGATGCATTCGATAGAGGCTCAGACTCCTTGATGTCCCACTGAGTCCCTGCTTGTCTCTGAAGCTTTTTGCAGGGTCCAAAACTGCCCACGTGACAGGTGCACAGACCTCCAGGGGTGCCTGACCCCAACACCTCCAGTGTCCAGCCCCAGCCCGGTGGAGAAGAGACAGGTGTCCCTCAACTGGCAGCCACTGACGTAAGCACGTGATTCCTCCGTGATCTTCCCTCAGGGACATCTAGTTCCCCCCCTCACACACAGTGACACATACTGTAGTCACTGTGTTTCTATGGATTCTCCTCCTTGCCCAGTTTAATCACTGGGTCTTTTCCACTTGATCTGTTCTGTCTCTATGCCCCACCCCGTTTTCTTTCCATCCACCTCATCTCTCTATTCTTGTTATGTCCCTTCCATGTCTAAGTCTCATCTCTCCTCTCTCTCTCTCTCTCTCTCTCTCTCTCTCTCTCTCTCATAGTCTTCTCTCTGAAAGCATTTCTCTAAAGAACACCCAAGGTTTGCTCCCCATAAAAGGGCTGGGGGCAGTGTTGGGCAGAGCACTCCTAGAAGTTCTAGCTTAGGGGGCCCTTTCCTTGAGGTAAGGGAACCAATTTAACAGTGGTGACAGCCTCTTCCGTCCCCTTCCACCCAGTTTGCAGGAGGCCCGAGCTCTGCTGAGGCAAAGGCGTCCCCGAGGGCCGTGGGCCCGGGCATTGCTGAAAAGGAGGCCCCCACATCGCGCCCCTGCCGGCCAGGCCCGGGGTAAGAACATCCGCCCTTCCTCCGTGTAGGGGGCGGAGGGGGATGGTTCCGGGCCAGATAAAGCCGTCTGGTTCCCACGGTGCTGCCGCCGCCAACCAGTCCCCCATTGTAGCTCAGTCCACCCCACTCCCTAGGACGCGGCCACCTCTAGGGACCCCTGCGTCCGGCAGTACGAGGTGAGCCAGGGACAGAACTAGACGCAGGCCAAAGACGCTGACCCATCGGGGTGGGGCCGGGAAGCCAGGCGTCCGGGCTCGGGCTCCTGCGACTGAAGAGGGGGGCAACTCGCCCAGCAGAGAGGGAGGCTGAACCAGCCCAGACAACAAAAGCGATTGTGCGGGTTGGCGCCTGCCCGGGCACAGAATGCCCAAGATTGCGGGACGGCTAGGGGCCAAAGGCTTTCCCCTCTTACATGCCAGACCCTCCCTTGGCCCTGTTCTTACTCCAGCTCTGTACCCCAGACTAGATCTCTCTAAAGGCTCAACCACCCTCAGAAGCCCCCTCCTGCTGTGTGGCCTTCAGCCCAGATGCATCCCCTCCTTCCTAAAGTTTTCCAGATGTTAGCCCCAGACCAGATGTGAGGACCCCCACCTACAGTCTGCACCCATCCCTTGCCTTTATCCATTCCGACCTCTTCCACCAGGTGTAGAGTCTTGGCCTGATGTAACATCTTCAGGTGTAGCTCACTTTCCCCACCCCCCAGAGCCTCCTCTCCAGAATTCAGTTCTTCCAATTCCTTTATGTGCCCTGTGCACTGACCCTTCTCATCACCCACAGATGTGCCACCTCGCTGCCCACATAGGCCATCCTTATCCGCTGTCTTGATGGAGCCCTTTCCCTGTGCCTAGTCAGAGGACCATCCTTTAGCTGGGTCCCCAAATGCGACCCCCATTACCCTGATGGATTTCCTCTGTATGGATTCAACTCTGTATGAGGGCAAACCCGCCCGCCCCCACCTGTTCCCTTCCCTGCTACTCCCCTGCGGGCCCCATCCACTTGTTGGAGCGCGGTTGGGAGCAGAGGGGGCGCCCTCCCCTTCCCCCTGCAAGTCTAGCGCCCAGCCTTCGCGCCTCTGGCTAAGCGCCCAGCCCCACGCGCCCCCGCGCGGCCGCCCGGGAGGGAGCGGGGGGGGGGGGGCTGAGCGGGGGCGCGGCCGCCCTCCCCCGCGGGCGGGCGGGCGGGCGAGCGGGCGGGTGCGGCCGGGCCCCTCGGGCGGGCTGGGGCGGCGGCGCGGTGGAGCGCGGCGCTGCAGCCATGGCGGGCGGCGCGCGGCTGCTCTGGGTGTCGCTATTGGTGCTGCTGGCGCAGCTGGGGCCGCAGCCCGGGCTGGGCCGACCCCGAGAGCGTCTCCGCGTGCGCTTCACCCCCGCCGTGTGCGGCCTGCGTTGCATCCACGGGCCCACAGGCTCCCGCTGTACCCCGACCTGCGCGCCCCGCAACACCACCAGCGTGGACAGCGGCGCGCCCGGCGGGGCGGCCCCGGGGGGACCCGGCTTCCGCGCCTGTGAGTGCGGGATGGTGCTCCCGAGGGAGGAGTGCCCGGAGGGAGGATCCCGGAGACAATGCCCTTGGGATCAGGAGCCCAGATTCCCTGTACAGACAGACGTGCTGGGGAGTCCGTGGGGTATTTGAGGAAGGGGGCTCCGAATTCCTAGCTTGGGAAGTTGGTTCCTAGGGCGCTGATCTCAGGAGCGATAAGTGTTTTCGAGGACCTGTGGTGTCCCACGTGAACGGACTGAGATTAGCTTTCATCCCTCTCAGTCAAGGCGGGGATCTCAGAAATGAGGGTCCTGGGAACTTTTGGGAAAGGTTCCAAATTCGGAGATTGTGCGTAGTGAGCAGGGACTGTTTCAGGGTCTCGCGGGGGATGTCTCAAGGTTCTGTGACTGTCTTTGGGAGGGGGAGAATAGTCCGGCATAGGATTGCCTGTGATGAAGAGCTGAGAGGGATGGGGCCCAGAAAAGACAGTGTCTTTCGGCAAGACCTGAACTACTGCGGTTCCACGTGCGACAGATATCCAGATAGGCGGCCCGGGGAAAGGGCGCCCCCTGGGGGAGGAGGGAGACGAACTTGCGCTTCAGCCACCTCTAGACAAGGGGAGCATTCTGGGGTTCAGGTGAGGTGTGGTGGGCAAGCCACCTGCTATCCCAGAGTGTGGGGGTGGAATTTCTTTCTGGGGGTCGGGTTTTACTTGTCTCCCACTCCTCACGCCCTCTGGAATGGGGAGTGGGGCCCCTGGCGCCGAGAACTCGCCCAGCCTGGCCCCCAGCCAGCCCAACCCGGCCGGCGTGAGCTCATCTCCCGCCTGAGCCCCCGCCCGCTACCACTCCCTTTCTCCGCCCCTTCCTCCCTCCTTCCTTCACTCCTTCCCGGCACAGCCCCAACTCGCCCGTGCCAGGCGCCGTGCCCAGGCGGGTGCCAAGCCCCTGGAGGCACAAGGAGGGACATGTGAAGGCGGGCTGACCTCGGCAAGACCCTGATGTCCTTAGCTCCCTGTTCTTCCAACGGTGGGGGGCATGAAGATAGCTTTGTCCTAGCAGGAAGCCCCTGGTACCGTCACCCGGAGCTGGGGCGTCGGGGGAGGGTCGGCAGTCAAGTCAAGAGCAGGCAGTGGATGACTTAAGAGACTAAGAAATGCCCCTAACCATGGTGGCTTCCACCTAACAGGGACAGTGCCATTTTTGCAACCTTGCTTCTCAGTTGAGCCCTTCTTAAACTCTGTCATTTTAAGAACCCCATTAAGGTACCTTGAGTCCAGGCTTAACACTCCTGACAGGAGATCCGGGTTTCTGACCACGGGATCCTAAGGTCCCTCTTTACCCCGGGTCAAACACTTCAGGAGCTCCTCAGAGAAGTTCCTTCTCCGTCTTCGGAGGGATATCTCCAAGCTGCGCCCCTCCCTGGAGAAGTCTAGCGTTGTCACCCAACGGCTTCCCACTTCCCCAGAAACCCTCAAGCGCAAGCCATAAGTGAAGATGTCTTCCTTGCCACCCCTCCCCCCCAATTCCCTTTCCACATAGCCTCCTATTTTCTTGTTTCTAATGTAGATTCCCAATTCCTCTCTACAGGTTTTCCCCCCATCCCCTAGGAACTTTGGACTCCTCCCTATCATCAAAGAACCCCAGAATTGGTCTTAATTCATGAATCCTCCCAAGAACACTCCAGAGATCACGCTGTTATCACAGACAGCCACTAATCAAAACTTAAGGCAACTAGGCCCTTAGCTAGGAAGGAGTAGGGCTTTCCACAGAATCCTAAGGTCCCAGCAACTTGAGACTCTTAGTATGCTGGAAACGTCCAGATTCCATTTCTCCTTGTCCTCCGCACTATCACATGGGCCACACCCCCGCCTCCAGAAAGTAGTCGAGTCCTGTTTTCTAGGCAACTCTCCCAAAGGACTTGAAAGACTCTTAGTTGAGAGCCTAGATTGGCTCTGAGCTAGCCTCTCCCTGCCTCCTAGGAATCTTGGGTCGTCTTTGAACCCCAGAGTACTGTCTCCACGCATACCTACCAAGGACTCCTGTCCCCTGACTTTTCTAAATTGAGGTGCCCCGCCCCGTGTTCTCTTTTGTACAGTTGTGGCTTCTAAAATCCCACACACACCTCCTCCGCCAGCCTGGGCAGCTTGCTCCCTCCTTCCCTTGAGCGCAGCTGTCTCCAGCTGTTTTCGGCAGCCCCAGGGGAAGGAGGGGGGGTGCCCTCAAAAGACAAGTCCGGCCTCCTTTGGCTCAGCAGTCCGGGGCTCCCCAAGGGTCCGGAATGCGGAGACGACGCCCTGCCCCCGCTGCACCCCTTTCTTTGTTTACCCCGCCGCACAGCTGGCAGTGCCCCGCCCAGAGGTGGCCTGGGGCCCAGGGAGGGCGCGCAGAGGGGAGTAGAGGCGCGTCCCCGCTACTTGCCCCGCCTGTGCTACCGAAGGACCGGAGAGAAGGCTAAAACTGCGAACTGTTTGAGGGAGTAGGCGGGACTAAGTCTCCAAGCTCGCCCTGGCATAGGAGGAGAGCGATCCACGGCAAATCAGAGGGAGGAGAGTGGGCGGGACTAAAGGTACCAGGTGTCCTGGCTAGGCGGAGTTTACAATCTCAGGTAGAAGGTCGTGTGGGCGGGGCTAGAAAGGAGTGATTGGCCAAGGGAAAAAACTGGGACGCTTGGAGTCCAGCTAAGGAGGCAGAAAGAGGAAGTGTCGGGTTGGGTAAAGAGAGCTATGGTAGGCGGAGATAATCCAGTGGGCGGGAATAGCACTGTCTGGGATGGGCTAGAACGCCTGAACTCCGCCAGAAACTGGGAAAGTGAATGAAGAGAGAGGAAGGGGGCGGAGTGAGCCCACTTAGTAGACGGGACTATGTAGTAGATAGCTTCACAACTGGACCCAACCGATGTACTCCTGTAGTCGGCAAGATTGGCCAATGGCCACACGACAGCTAAAATAAAAGCCTGATGTGGTGGGAATATACTGCTCTATAATCGGAGCTGGGAATCGGAGGCAGGAGGATCAGGAGTTCAAGCATCGGCTATATAGTGGGTTTTTGAGGCTAGTCTGGGCTACATTAACCCCTACCTCAAAACACAAAAGCAAACAAACGGAAAACACCTAAGGTGGAAAGATGTCGGATGAATGCACCGTGAGGGCCTCGCTTTACAGCGCTGGGGACTGAGTTAGCTTGGGTTCATCTGACACAGGACTGTCTGTCAGGTATAGTACTGATTTTTGTGTGTGTGTCCTTACTTTCTCCTCAGACCTGTGCCCCTTGATCTGTCACAACGGTGGTGTGTGTGTGAAGCCTGACCGCTGCCTCTGTCCCCCGGATTTCGCTGGCAAATTCTGCCAATTACATTCCTCGGGGGCCCGGCCCCCGGCCCCAGCCATGCCGGGCCTTACCCGCTCCGTGTACACCATGCCACTAGCCAACCACCGTGATGATGAACATGGTAAGGAGAATTTAGCCAAATGGCCTCTGGTCCCCTTTCACTTCAGGGACTTAACCATTCTCTGATCAAGTTTGTTGCCTTCCGTGCTACCCTCCCAAACCCGGTTTGGTAGCTTCTACCTGTAATCCCACCAATGGGATGCAGAGGCAGGAGGATCACTGAAAATTGCAGGCCAGATTACATTACCACCCCCACCCCCAAGAAACCTACCCAAATATCAAATACCTCAGCTCACCTCTCCAATCTACTCCCAACAAGGCAGGATACGTGTAGACATAGCCCTTTGTCCATCTTGCCTCTGCTCAGGTGTGGCATCGATGGTGAGCGTGCACGTGGAGCACCCTCAGGAGGCATCGGTAGTGGTGCACCAGGTGGAACGTGTGTCAGGCCCCTGGGAAGAGGCGAACCCTGAAGCCCTAGCCAGGGCTGAGGCGGCAGCACGGGCCGAGGCGGCAGCGCCCTACACAGTGCTGGCACAGAGCGCGCCGCGCGAGGATGGCTACTCAGACGCCTCCGGCTTCGGTTACTGTTTCAGGGAATTGCGCGGAAGCGAAGTGAGAGCAGGCCCGCGGGCTGGGGGATCCCCCTAAAGCATACCACCGCGCAGGGGCGCGCTCACGCATCGCTTCCCCAACAGTGTGCTTCGCCGCTGCCCGGGCTCCGGACTCAGGAAGTATGCTGCCGAGGGGAGGGCTTGGCCTGGGGTGTTCATGATTGTCAGCCGTGCTCGGAGCACCTGGGTAAGCCCCAGGTCCTCCCCAAACCTCGCCTCTTCTCCTCTGGCACAGATACACCCCAGTCACAAAATTTGGCTATACCTACCTTGTTACGGGGGTCATGTCTATTCTAGGTCCCCCCCCCACACCCGCACACACACACACTGTTGAGTCCATTTACCCTGTTTTGTGATTTTGGTCACACTTTTCAATCGGCTTTGGTGCCTTGATCTCATCCATGCATTTCAAGATCCTCCCAAGTTATCTACTAAGCTGCCAAAGAGAGACTAATTTGGTACTCAAACCACACCTCACTCCTTTTAGCCCTTCCCACGTAATCTTTCATTTAAAACTAATCGGTTGTCTGTCTGCCAACCTGTTCCTGCCCCGACCCCTCCTTTCTGCACAGGGAACTCCAACAGAGTGAATGGCCCAAATGGACCTTGTCCAACCGGCTTCGAGAGGGTTAACGGGTCCTGCGTAGGTAAGGGACAGTGGGGGAGCATGGGCTTGTCTTGTATAAAGAGTGACTGCCAAGCATGTAGTCCCCAACTCGCCAAACACTCCCTCGATTCTTGCAGATGTGGACGAGTGCGCCACAGGTGGGCGTTGCCAACACGGGGAGTGCGCCAACACTCGTGGCGGGTACACGTGTGTGTGTCCCGACGGTTTCCTGCTGGACTCCTCCCGGGGCAGCTGCATCTGTGAGCCACCAGGAGGGGCGTTCTGCATCTGGCTCCCAAACGGCTGTAGACCTTAGACCCTATTCCCGAGTGTTCATGGACCCTAATTCCCTCACACACACACAAACCCTTCTAGACTTTCAGCCCCCCCCCCCCACAGATTTAGCCTGGACCTTTAAACAGATCTCTGCGATGATTTCAGAAGCTCCCCTCCAGCCCTCAAACTTTTTATATCGAGGCCCCTCAGGCTCCCAGAGTCTTGAGTTCCAATTGACCTCCAGACAGCTTTCGGACTTTGATATCCAGCTTCTCCTTTATGCCCTGTTTAAGCCCTGGGCACTCTCAGCTGTTCTTCAGACCCCCTTCCCCGACTTCCCTTAATGCCCCTTTCACCTACCCACTAAATCTTCCCTGGGACCATTCCCCTATTCCCCTCTCCCAGAACGGCTGAACTCCTCACCCGCCCTGAAGAATTTCCTCCCATCCCCCAGCCCAACACGTGATCTCTGAGGCAAAGGGGCCCTGCTACCGAGTGCTCCATGATGGCGGATGCTCGCTGCCCATTCTTCGAAACATCACCAAACAGATCTGCTGCTGTAGCCGTGTGGGCAAGGCGTGGGGCCGCGGCTGCCAGCTCTGCCCACCTCACGGTTCAGGTGAGCTAGTCCTTGCGATTCACCCCTTCCTAACAGATACACACAGACTCTGGATAGGCCCTGCTGTGCGGCTCTAAGGTCTAGCGGCTTCAAACCTGGCCACACTCCCAACTTCTGATCAACTCATTGTGGTAGACTTAACCCAGGACTTTACCTCTATCCTTAGCCACGCCTACTCCTGGGTCACAAACCTTAAAGTTAGGTTGACCAGAACTCTCTGCCACCTTCCCAAATGAGGGAAACTCTCGTGGCTCTACCATTGGCTTCTGGAACATCTTATTCTTTGGCCAGTACACTACTCCCTCCAGCGCATAAGCCAGACTATCTTAGGTCAAGCTTTGTTCCTGGCCAAAGCCTGCTTACGGCTCACAAGATCTGTCTCCTCTCCTGACCTCCCCTTGTCTTGCTCCCAGAGGGTTTTCGGGAGATTTGCCCAGCTGGCCCTGGTTACCACTATTCAGCCTCTGATCTCCGCTACAATACCAGACCCCTGAGCCAGGACCCACCTCGAGTGACCTTCAATCAACCACGTGCCCCACCAGCCACTGCTCGGCCACCCATAGGTGAGCTGAATCCCGGATGGGGTTCGATTAAATTTCCAGGTGCTGCCTGAGGTCCATAGGAAACAGAGGGGAGGGGCAAGGACACCTAAATTTAGGTCCCAATAAAAGTATTCTTTCTTTAACCAGGCTTTCTGCCCACTCGGCCTCGGCCTGAATCTCGGCCACAGCCTGAACCCCGGCCTCGGCCTGAATCTCGGCCACATCCTGAAACCCGGCCTCGGCCTGAATCTCGGCCACAGCCTGAACCCCGGCCTCGGCCTGAATCTCGGCCACAGCCTGAACCCCGGCCTCGGCCTGAATCTCGGCCACAGCCTGAACCCCGGCCTCGGCCTGAATCTCGGCCACAGCCTGAACCCCGGCCTCGGCCTGAATCCCGGCCACAGCCTGAACTCCGGCCTCGGCCTGAACCCCGGCCACAACCTGAATCACGGCCACGTCCTGAATTTGCCCTGCCCAGCACCCCTCCTTGGACCGGTCCAGAGAGTCCTGAATCAGGTGCCGTGGGAATCTGAGGGCACTGGCCAAGATCCTGTGAAGTTCTGTGGGGCGAAGCTCCAGAGTGGAGGTTTTGAACGGTGATAGAGTGGGGAAGGATGGGGAGAGGGAAGAACTGGAAGATTTGGGTAGTGGCTCCCTCAGGTACTGGAGTCACAGTTAGGGTCCAGTCCTCTTTTGCACGAGCAGTGAAACCCAGAGCCACCGTTTCTTATCCTGTAAAATGGGCATCCTGAGAGGTTTCTGAAGTAGGGGGTATGTGAATGCCGTTGTGGGTAGGTTCAGGCAGATCTGATGAGACTCTGTCCGGGTAAATGACAACCTGATCTTCCAAGATTACGCTTGTGGGGGGGACACTCATAAAGGTACCTTAACGGAGCTAAGGGCACTGTTCTGGGAAGGAAAGGACAAGAAGTTCAGAGTTGTGGGAACCTGGCTGACTGTCTCCCCCAGGTCCCTCCTCCAGCGTGTGCCAGCGCAATCCCCAGGTTTGTGGTCAGGGTCGCTGTGTTCCCCGGCCCAGTGGCTACACGTGTGCGTGCGACCCTGGTTTCCGACTCAACCCCCAAGGCACTCGCTGCATAGGTGAGCTGGCCAGAGGGGGTTCAGTGAAGCGGAGCTGCGGTTGAGAGTCCTCTGCCTGGCCACCACGTAACTAGCATTTTCTGTGCCTTCAGACGTAGATGAATGTCGCCGCGTGCCTATGCCCTGTGCTCCTGGACGCTGCGAGAACACACCAGGCAGTTTTCGCTGCGTGTGTGGCACAGGCTTCCAAGCAAGCCCGCAGGCTACAGAGTGCCTAGGTGAGAATCCCGCTCCGCCCGGCCCCCGACTCCACCCCTGCTTGGGTCTTGGTTCTGCTCTCACTATAGAACCGCTCACGGCTGCTCCTTCGCCTCCCCCACGCCGGTACAGCACCTTGTTCTGCCCTGGCCATCGCTCCAAGATCAGCTCGGCCACATCCCTACTCTGGATCTAACCTTTCTTCCCCTGTGGCCCAGTTTTTGTTCAAATCCCCTTCAAGCTGGGCTTTCACTAGCTCCGCCTTCTCTATCTTGGATGAGCTCACGCCTCCAGGCCCGGTTTGAATTCTACCATTTCTGCAGTTACTCTGATTCCACACCCAGCTCTCACCCCAAACTGTCCGTTCGTTCTCTGGCCCTGGTCCTGCCTTCCTTTTCTTCCTTTGGGCCACAAAGATTCCTTTCCTGCTCTTATCCTTTCCCAGGTCCTGTCCTCTCCAAATTTGTTTCCTCCTCAGCTGCGGTCTTAACTTCCCGGCTCGGTGACCACTTCGCAATAAGCCTACCCACTCTAGCCCTGCCTACCTCCGTAGCCACGCCCCAGACTAGCTTTGGTCCTAGCTTCGCCCCGCCCTTGTCCTGCCCCTGCTGCTCCTCCCTCACATCTTCTCTCTGGGCTCAGGGAGTCTGGGTGTCTGCCGCTTTCTAGCCTCTGGGTTTTGCCCACAGATGTGGACGAGTGCCAGCGCGTGCCGCCGCCGTGTGACCGCGGGCGCTGCGAGAACAAGCCAGGCAGTTTCCTATGTGTGTGTCCCGCTGGATACCAAGCAGCGCCACACGGAGCCAGCTGCCAGGGTGAGGGTCTGGAAGGGGACAGAGGATGTAAGGTGAGGGGTGGATAGGTAGCGATAAGGTTGGAGAAACTGAGCAATCGGGCAAAGGGTGGCTTACTGATGGGGCACGCAGACCAGGGTCAGAGAGTCTAATGTGACCTGGATCAGATGGAAAAGCCAAGTGATGGAAAACAGAAGGGCTGGGTCATGGAGCGTGGAGAAGCAGATGGAGAAGGGACCGAGATGTGAGTAACTGGGAAAGGTGACTGGATTTTGGAAGACAAATGCAACTCAATTCATGGGGACCAGCGAGGCAGAGTTCCAGGAACCAACCACACAACTCCGTTAGAATTGGTGGAGGATGGAGATTCAGGATGCTGGAAGACAGGAAGGAGGAATAGAGAGGATGGAAAAGCAAGGTGAGGGAGCTCAGAAAGAGCGTAGCATGGTGTATGGGGGGCATGAATCACACCAGAGGCCCTGGGGATTGCTTGCTCCCTGCAGATGTGGACGAATGCACCCAGAGCCCAGGCCTCTGCGGCCGTGGAGTCTGTGAGAATCTGCCCGGCTCTTTCCGCTGTGTTTGTCCGGCTGGCTTCCGCGGCTCGACGTGTGAAGAAGATGTGGATGAGTGTGCCCAGCACCCTCCACCCTGTGGGCCAGGCCGCTGCGACAACACTGCAGGCTCATTCCACTGTGCCTGTCCAGCTGGCTTCCGCTCCCGAGGACCAGGGGCCCCCTGCCAAGGTGAGGGTGCTGAGCCCAGGCCTGGAACCCCATGCATGGCTTGCTGTGGGGGATGGAGAGAGTAGAGAAGCCTTAGGATGGCCTCTGTGACACAGGTCAGGTGACTGGAGTATTGAGAAGGCCGGGCAGATCTGGCTGAATTCTATCTTCTTTCCTTTCTTCCAAATGAGAGAGCATCTATGTTTTCCTCAAGTAGCGGCCTGGAACGCATGACCCCCTGCCTCTGCCTCCTGAGTGCTGGTATGAAGGGCGACCACCTACAATTAGTCAATTAATGCCTGACCCTCTTCCTGTTTAATTTTTTTTTTCGAGACTCTTTTCCTGCCTCAGCCTTCTGAGTGCTTGGGTTGCAGACAGGAAACACCATGTTAGCCAGCATTCTACTCTTGAACCAGCCACCCAGGCCTTTCAAGGCTGTCTCCTCCTCCCAGGAGGACAGAGTCAAACCCCCTCCAGCCATTTAATAGTCTTTCTAGCCGTTAGGAAGACCAAGGCACTTGGGAGGCAGAGGCAGGAAGATCTCTGTGAGTTTGAGACCAGCCTGGTCTACAAGAGCTAGTTCCAGGACAGGCTCTAAAAGCTACCGAGAAACCCTGTCTCCGAAAAAACAAAAACAAAAACACAAAAAATAAAAAGACAAAAACAAATCCCCCCCAAAAGAAAAACAAAAAACAATTCGTGGTTGGGGTAGGTGGGCATGGCAGTAGGAAGGGGCCCATGCCTATTCTCAGCTTGATTGGCCTCTTCTGCCCAGATGTGGATGAGTGTGCCCGGAGCCCCTCGCCCTGTGCCTATGGCCGCTGTGAGAACACAGAAGGGAGTTTCCAGTGTGTCTGCCCTACAGGCTTCCAAGCCAACGCTGCTGGCTCCGAGTGCGAGGGTGAGACCGGGGAGGGAGGATTGTGGATGCGTGAGGAGGCGGGGGGGGGGGGCACTTCCTCAAGACCACTCTCTCCCCTGCTCCTCAGATGTGAATGAGTGTGAGAACCACCTGGCGTGTCCTGGGCAGGAGTGTGTGAACTCACCGGGCTCCTTCCAATGCCGTCCTTGCCCTGTTGGCTACCACCTGCACCGCGGCAGGTGCACTGGTGAGATCAGGCCCATTTGGGACCCGGGACCTGTACCTTAACCTCATCACTCAGATTTTTGACCTGTGACCTGGTTCATGACCCTGACTTGACCCATATCTTGGGACCTGAATCTCAGTCCCCTTACACTGGCAATGACAACCAAGTGTTGCTCTGACTCGTGTCCCCCTCACCTGCAGTGACTGACTTGACCACACTCTTGACCCTGGGTGATGCTTGACTGTAACCTAGGAACTTGTGACTTGGCTGGAACTTTTGGGGACTAGCCATGCATGACCCTTGCTGACAACCCCTGACCTTGTGTCTCAGAAATACATTTCTGGACCCTTACTATCCCATGACCCTATATTTGACTGTGCCTTTTGATCTTAACCAAAATAGAAACAAACAAAACCCTTTACAATCCTGACCATGTTGTTCTGGTTCACTCTCCATCCAAAGCCCTTCTCAGACTCTCTTTCCTGAAGCTTATTTGGGTACATGACCCTTGACCCTGACATCAGGCAGAATTCTCAACACTGGCTTACTTTGATACATTTATTAAGCAGAATCTTATCCAACAATCCTAGTTCATCCCTTCCCTTGGTTAATTTCTGATCCCCAGTGCCAATCCAGAGTCCCTTTCCCTGACCTCAGGATCCCAGTAGAGGGAGGCTCAGAAACCCAGATCCACAGGATGTCAAATCCTGGAGTACTCATCTGTCCTCCATTCAAGATCCTGTCCCATGACTCTCACCAATCCCTTTGCTCTAATGGACCCCTATGAACCTCCCAACCCTTCCCACAGATGTGGACGAATGCAGTTCGGCCACCCCTTGCGGTCTCCACGGCCAGTGCACCAACACGGAAGGCTCTTTCCACTGCAGCTGCGCTCCAGGTTACCGGGCGCCAACTGGTCTACCCGGGCCTTGTGCAGGTGAGATACTTCACCCGAGTAAGGCCTGAATTCTTGGGCAAAGCCCATTAGCGATATAAAATGGATTAAGAAAGGAGTTTCCAAAATAACTTAGCCTTCAAGCTTTCAACTTGGGTGGTGGGATTACATGATGGGCAGGGCTCCCTTTGGGAACCAGCAGCCCAACCCTGACACTTGTGTGCCCTAGACATAAATGAGTGTCTGGAAGGCGACTTCTGCTTCCCTCACGGAGAGTGCCTCAACACGGATGGCTCCTTTGCCTGTACTTGTGCCCCTGGCTACCGGCCTGGACCTCGTGGAGCTTCTTGTCTGGGTCAGTGCCCAGGCTGTATCTGAGGGCAGAAAGGGAGGGCTTGCAGCAGGAAAAGGCGGGACAAGAGGAAGAGGGAGGAGAGGGGGTGGTTTTGGAGGTTTGGGGGGAATCTACATGGATCACTGGACCAGTGGAGCTTTCGGAACCTGGAGGTGGCAATCATGGAGGACATGTCAGGAAAAGTTGGAGTCTGACAGTTAAGTAGTGATTAGAAAGGACTCCAACCGGGGGCGGAGCTTAGAAGAAAAGGCGGGGCCTAAAACAGATTGGGTGAGCCCTTCCTTGAAGGCTATGGGACTTGGAGGGTCCGGATGGGGAAATTGGAGGGGTGTGGCCTGGGATATTAAGCAGAGCAGGATGTGGCCCTGGGTTTCCGTTGCTCTGTCCTGCAGACGTGGACGAGTGCAGCGAGGAGGACCTTTGCCAGAGCGGCATCTGCACCAACACTGACGGCTCCTTTGAGTGCGTCTGTCCTCCCGGGCACCGCGCTGGCCCAGATCTTGCCTCGTGCCTTGGTGAGAGGCCTTACTCCGCTGCCTCCCTGCTTCTCCTGACTTTGGTCTCCTCTCCTACTCCTTCCTTTTTTACCCTCACCGCTGCTTCTCCTTCCTGACGCTCCTGCACCTTTTTTCCCCCGGCTTCTGTCCTCAGACATTGACGAATGTCGTGAACGAGGACCTGTCCTGTGTGGGTCTCAGCGCTGTGAAAATTCCCCTGGCTCCTACCGCTGTGTACAGGACTGCGATCCTGGTTATCACCCTGGCCCTGAGGGCACCTGTGATGGTAAGACAGTTCCCCATCCCAAATCTGTGACAGGTTGTTGGAGTCTGCTTCCCTGGGAATCAGAGGAGAGATAGCCTGCTTCAGAAACCTAGAAGAGATCCTAGGTTAACACTTCCTTTCTCCCCCCGCTGTTTTCTGGTGGAAATTTGCCACCCCTGTGTGTGTGTTTAATTATGGGAAGGGATTTCTCTTCTCAGGAATCGGGAAGAGCTAGAAGCCTCCCCTGACTGATCTGCTCTAGTATGTTTTTGAGGGAAAGCGTGCCATGTGGATTGGTGTTTTCCGTGTCCCGTGAAACAAAACTCTTATGGGCTGCACTTCACTCCCTAGTGGTTAAACCTCTGACTCATGCAAATCTCAATCATTAGTTCCTAAGATTTCAGGAAGCACCTGCTGGATGTCAGACTGGGGTGAGGGCACAGCAGGGAAGGAGCCAAACTAAACCTCTGCCCTCCTGAGCTGTGGGGGGAGTGGGGCGGGTAACTGTAAATAAATTCAGAGATCATTCCACAGATAACTCGGAGGCCGTTTCTGTGTGACAGGCGCTGTTGATGCCTCGACAGGCAGAAATCCTTACTGATGTGGAGTTTGCATGGCAGGATGGTCCCTGTCGGCATTTTATAGATATGATGACAAGGTTGTTTTGTTCACACAGTGTTTTGCTGTGTGGGCCATGCTGACCTTCAACTTGTTTTTTTGGTGTGAGACAGTCTGTCTCGATTCCAACCTGGGTGTGTATGTGTGTGTGTAGCTCTTGCTGGCTTGGAATTTACTATTGTAGGATGCGCTTGCCTGGAACTTGCAACAATCCTCCTGCCTCAGTCTTCTTAGCACTACGTTCTAGTCATGCACTCTGACTCCCAAGTGCTGGAATTACAAGCATGTGTCACCATGCCAAGCTTAAAGTCGGGTTTAAGAAAGAGGCTATAGGGCTGGAAAGATTCAGTGGTTAAGAGCACACTGACTTCTCTTCCAGAGGACCCTGGTTCAATTCCCAGCGCCCACATGGCAGCTCACAACTGTCTATAACTCCAGTTCTAGGGGATCTGACACCTTCACATAGACATATGTACAGGCAAAGCACCAGTCATGTGAAATAAAAATAAACTAAAAAACTAAAGAAGAAGAAGAAGAAGAAGAAGAAGAAGAAGAAGAAGAGGAAGAAAGAACGAAAGAAAGAGGTTATAAACCAGACGTAGTGGCATATGCCTTTAATCCCAGTACTTGGAAGGCAGAGGCAGGCGGATCTCTATGAGTTTGAGACCAACCTGGTCTACAAAGAGAGTTCCAAGACAGCCAGGGCTAAACAGAGAAACCGTGTCTCAAAAAACAAAAACAAACAAACAAACAAAAATCACAGAAAGAGGCCATGAGACTGAGTCCTCAGTTGATACAAGACAGATGGACACTGGGTAAAGGCATAAAGTGAGCGCTGTCCTGTGACCCAGTATTTGGGAGGGGGAGACTGGCTACGTGACAAATTTGAGGTCAGCCTAGCTTCTTGAGATTCTAAATAAGAAGTAATGTTAGCTTTCGAGGGAGAGTGGATGTGGTGGCATCCACTCCTACAATCCCAGTAACTGGAAGGTGGAGGCAGGAGGAATTGATGGTTTTCCTTGGCTACGTAGGATTCAAGGTCAGCTTGGTCTGCTTGAGACCCTGCCTCTAAAACTAAACAAAATTTAAAATTGAAGAAAAATAAACTAAGCGTGGTGGTCTATGGCTTTAGTTCCAAAACTTGGGAGGCAGAGACAAGCAGATCTCTGTGAGTTCAAGGTCAGCCTGGTCCTCATAGTGAGTTCCTGGACAGCCAGACAGTCAGGGCTCCATAGTGAGACCATGTCCCAACTTAAAAAGAAAGGAGGGAGGGAAGGAGGGAGGAAGAGGAGGAGAGGTCATGGATTTGAAAGGGAGTGGGGAGGACGGGGAATTAATTGGAGCACTGAGAAGAATGATGTAAATACAGCTCCCATGTGAAATCTCAACAAAAAAAGGGGGCAGTGAAATGAGGGGCAGGGGGCCATAGCTGTGGGGACATATCTAGCAAAGAGAACAGCTCAGCAAAGGTCCTGAGGTGGGCGGGGTCCTGTTAGAGTTGTTTCAGAAATGGCAGTAAAAGACTTAAGAGCTACAGGACTCAGTAACTGGAAGCAGCAACAGTGACGCCCCTCCCCCGCTGCCCCCCATTTCAGGCCCTTGACTCTCCTCCCTCTGTCCCTCCTTCACTCTCTTGCAGATGTGGACGAGTGCCAAGAATACGGCTCTGCGATTTGCGGAGCACAGCGCTGTGAGAACACCCCTGGCTCCTACCGCTGCACGCCAGCCTGTGACCCTGGTTATCAGCCCACACCAGGGGGCGGATGCCAGGGTGGGTGTCCACTGGGTAGTAGGTGGGATGTGGAGGGGACTTGAGATTTCGATATGGCCCTGCTGAAATGGCCTGCTGGTGCTTGCAGACGTGGATGAGTGTCGGAACCGATCCTTTTGTGGTGCCCACGCCGTGTGCCAGAACCTGCCCGGTTCCTTCCAGTGCGTCTGTGACCAAGGCTACGAGGGGGCACGGGATGGACGTCACTGCGTGGGTAAGGGACTGTAGGGCGTGTGGGACCACAGGGGGCGTAGGATGGTCCAGCCCTGCTCATTTCCACTCTCCTGAAGAAACATGAATTCTGGAGTTGCAGAATTAGTTCTCAGAATTTAAGATCGGAGGCATACCAGCTAAAACCACCCTGTGGTGCCAAAAATGGTGGCTCACTTCTACCAACAGCTGGGAGGCAGAAACAAGAGGATTGCTGTGAGTTCAAGGCCAGTCTGAGTACATAGCAAGTTCCAGGCTATCCTGGGCGATATGGTAGGACCCTGTCTCCAAACAGAAAGAATCAGGTGGCAGAATCTTAGTCAATTAGTTGTTTGCTTGCTTGTTTTTGTTGTTGTTGTTTTTTTTTTAAGATTTATTTATTTTATTTTACGGGTATTTTTCCTACATATATTTATTGCACCACATTTGTGCCTGGTCCCCACAAAGGTCAGAAGAGGGCATTGGATGCCCTGGAACTGGAGTGGCAGACAGTTGTGAGCCCCCATAGGGGTGCTGGGAATTGAACCCTGGGTTATCTGCAGGCACAGCCCGTGCTCTCAACCACTGATCCATCTATCTCTCCAGCCCCCAATTAAGTTTTGTGTGTGCATTAATTTCTTTTCTTTCTCTCAACGAAATTGTATCCCAAATCCTTCTGGTGCTTTTTGTTGTTGTTGTTTTGTTTTTCTTTTTCCTTCGGGGGAAGGGGTCTCATGCCTTGAGCTCACTGTGTAGACATGAAGGGCCTCCAATTTTGGATCTTTCTGTTTCCACTTCTGAAGTGCTGAGATAACAGGCGTATGCCATCGCACCCAGCAGCAGCCAAATTTTTCCACTTTATTTAGAAATAGAACCACTAAATTGCTGAGACTGGCCTTGAACTCACCTTGTAGCTGAGGCAAGCCTTGAATTTGTAAAACTCCCGCCTCAATCTCCCTAGTAGCTAGGATTACAGCTCTGGGCCACCAGATCTGACAGAAAGTTTCTACATCCAGCAGTAGAGAAAACCGCAAGCTGCACCTCTCCTTGCCCACGATGTAGATTCTGTCATTACCACGATCACCACCACCATCGCCGCTGTCGTCATTATTGCTAGTATTTTAATGTGCTGGCCACCTCATATATCCATCTAGGAAAGCATTTAGGTGTTTGGAAAGATTTGCGGGGCTTTTGAGAGTTTGTTTTTGAGAAAAGAATCTCATTCTAGCCTTGACTGGCACTGAACTCACTACTAGATCAGGCTGGCCCTGAACTTACTACATAGAACAGGCTGGCCCTGAACTCACTACATAGAACAGGCTGGCCCTGAACTCACTATATAGAACAGGCTGGCCCTGTACTTACTACATAGACCAGACTGGCCCAGAACTTACTACATAGAACAGGCTGGCCCTGAACTCAGTACGTAGACAGGGCTGGCCCCAAACTCACTATGTAGAACAGGCTATGTAGAAATGTAGAACTGAACTCACTCACTCACTTAGACCATGCTGGCCTTCAGCTTGCCTTGACCCTCCTGCCTTTGTCTTCTGAGTGTTGGAATTACAGTCATGAGCCAATCTTCAGTCTGCTTATTATTAATTAGAGTTCCTTATGTCTTTACAGATATTTTAATTAGAGGCCCAATGCATGTGGAAGGCAGAGGACAACCTGTGGGAGTCTGTTCTTTCCTTCCATCATGTGGGTTCCTAGGGACCAAATTCAGGTCGTTAAGCTTGACAGCAAGCGAGGGTGTTTACGTCCTGAGCCATCTTTCTGGCTCTAGAGATCCAGTGTATACACAGTGGAGTACTATGATTGAGCTGTATATCCTCTAGGTTTTCACAAGTGCAAACTCCGACTTTATTGTTTTTTCTTTTTGGTTGGGGACACGAGGGTTGAGGCAGGCTCTTACGGTGCAGCCCAGACTGGCCTTAAACTAACAGTTCTCAATGCCTTCACTTGTTTTCTCTTGTTTTTTGTTTGTTTGTTTTGTTTTGAGCTCCTTCACCAAAAGCATTTACTTCTTAAAAGAGAATGAAGAAGGCATGGGAAGGGATGAGAAATGGTCCAGCAGCTAAGAGTGTGGATTGCTGTTTTGAGAGGACTTCTGTTTGATTCCCAGCACTTACGTCGGGAGACAACCACTTGAAATTCCGGCTCCAGGGGATGTGTCACCTCTGGCCTCTGAGAGCACCTGCGCTCACGTATACATACCCACATATAGATACACACATATATACTCGATTGAAAACGAATATATCACCAGGCAGTGGTGGCACACATCTTTAATCCCAGCACTTGAGAGGCAGAGGCAGGCAGATCTCTCTATGAGTTTGAGACCAACCTGGTCTACAGAGGAAATTTCAGGACAGCCAGAGCTACACAGAGAAAGCCTGTCTCAAAAACAACAACAACAAAAACAAAAACAAAAAAACCCTCATATATGTAATGTTTCACTTGAATGTATGTTTGTATAGCACATGTGTGCCTGGTGCCCTTGGAGGAAGGAATGTCAGATACCCTGGAAATGGGGTTATGAGCAGTTGTGAATTGCCAAGTGGGTGCTGGGAATGAGCCTGGGTCTTCTTTTATTTATTTATTTATTTGTTTGTTTATTTATTTATTTATTGTGTATACAATATTCTGTCTGTGTGTATGCCTGCAGGCCAGAAGAGGGCACCAGACCCCATTACAGATGGTTGTGAGCCACCATGTGGTTGCTGGGAATTGAACTCAGGACCTTTGGAAGAGCAGGCAATGCTCTTAACCACTGAGCCATCTCTCCAGCCCCGAGCCTGGGTCTTCTGCAGGAACAAGTGCTCTCAAACACTGAGCCATCTCTCCTGCCCCCAACTCGCGCGCGCGCGTGTGTGTGTGTGTGTGTGTGTGTGTGTGTGTGTGTGTGTGTTTTGAGACAGGGTCTCATCATGTAACTCTGTCTGGCCTGAAACTCACTGTGTAGATCAGACTAGCTTCGTACTCACAGAACTTCATACTCCACTTGTCTCAGCCTCCTGAGTGCTGGGATTAAGGGCCTGTGCCACCATGCCGAGTCAAATACATATATCTTTATTTTTAATTAATTAACTTATTTTCAAGGAAGGGTTTCTCTGTGTAGCACTAACTATCCTGGAAGTCATTCTGTAGGCCAGGTTGGCTGCAAACTCAGAGATCCACCTGCCTCTGCCTCCCAAGTGCTGGGATTGTGCACTTGCTGCTTTTGCAAAGAGTCAGGTTCAGTCCCCATCACCCACATGGTGCCTCACGACTGTAACTCCAGTTCCAGAAGATCTGCTGCCCATTCCTGGCCTTGGAGGGCACCAGGCACTCATGTGATGCGCATACATATGTGCTGGCAGATGTTCAAAACATAAGCAACAGCTGAGAAGAGAGGGAGGCTCTGAAGTGGCAAAGTCTGAGTGCAGAACTGGAGCCAAGAGCTGCAGCATAACTGTCTGCCTCCCTCTGTTGGGCTTGTTTTTAGGCAGTGACAGGTGGCCCTAGCTCTCTCTGGGCTGACATCCTCTGCCTGGCAGCTGGAGAGCTAAGGAGGCGACCCAGAAAGTCTGAGACTGGCTTTGATTGGCGTGATGAAGTCATTGCCTGCCTCTGACCCGGAGAATCGCAGTAACCTGATTGGTTCTGCCCTAGTGGAGACTTGGCTGTACTCAAGATGCCTGGGGCTGACTTGGAAGCTCAGAGAATTCCCAAGGGAAAGTCCGAGTTTCTAACCAGAAGAAAAGTACACAATAGAGTCTGGGCTGTTAAAAAGTATCCACTCTAGGGGAAGGAAAGTTGGATCAGCGGTTTAGAGCACTCACTGGTCTTTCAGAAGTCTGGAGTCCGGTTCCCAGCACCCACATGATAGCTCACAATCATCTACAATCCATTTCCCAGGATCCAGCACCTTCTGGTCTCCACTGGAACCATGGACATGGCACACATACAAGCATATGAAACACAAGAGGCACACACACATATCTTTTTAAAAAGTTTACATTGTGAACCAGGTGTAATGGTGTGTGTTTCTACTGCCAGCCCCCTGGGAGACCGAAGTAGGAGGAGGGCAGCCTGGGCTGTACAGGGAGTTCCAAACTATCCCGGGTTAAAGAGTAAAACTGTTTTTTTTTGTTTATGTTTTTGGTTTTAGTTTTTTTTCGTTTTTTTGTTTTTTTTTTGGCTTTTTGTTTTGTTTTTGTTTGGATTTTTTTTTTTTTCAAGACAGGGTTTCTCTGTGTTGCTCTGGAACTCTGTAGATCAGGATGCCTTCAAACTCACAGAGATCCGCCTGCCTCTGACTCCTGAATGCTGGGATTAAAGGTGTGTGCCACCACCACCTGGCTGTTTTGTTTTGTTTTGTTTTGTTTTTTGGATTTTTCGAGACAGGGTTTCTCCGTAGCTTTTTGGTTCCTGTCCTGGAACTAGCTCTTGTAGACCAGGCTGGCCTCAAACTCACAGAGATCCACCTGCCTCTGCCTCCCGAGTGCTGGGATTAAAGGCCTGCGCCACCACCGCCCGGCTTGTTTTTGTTTTTTTATGAGACAGTGACAACAAAAAGCTGACAGTCTTGGCTCATACATATAATCCTGACACTCCAGGAGGCAGAGGCAGAGGCAGAAGGATTGCCACAAGTATAAGGCTAGTCTGATCTCCAAAGTGATCCAGGGCTACCCAGTGAGATACTACCTCAAAAGACATATATCTATATAGAGGTAGATTAAAATCCATTTTATTTGAATATTTTATTTTATGGATATAGTGTTTATCTGTACCACATGCATGCAGTGCCTGTAGAGGCCAGAAGAGGGCATCAGATCCCCTGGAACTGGAGTTAAGAGACAGTTGTGCGCTACCTGAGTGCTGGGAACCGAGCCCAAATCCTCTGAAAGAGCAGCCAGTGCTCTTAACTTCTGGGCCATCTCTTCAGCCCCATCTGTTATACTTGGAATCTTGGACATCTCAAGCCACAGAAGTTCATAACATGGACCCCCTCTTGCTTTATTTCCTGCTCTCAGATGTGAACGAGTGTGAGACACTACAGGGTGTGTGTGGCTCCGCACTGTGTGAAAATGTCGAAGGCTCCTTCCTATGTGTTTGCCCCACAAGCCCTGAGGAGTTTGACCCCATGACTGGGCGCTGTGTTCCTCCACGGACTTCTGCTGGTAAGATCCATGTGTCTACTTAACAAATGCCTGCTGGTCCTGTGGGAGAATTATGTGGCTCAGCTGTGCTCATGTGAGTGTGTACGTGCGTGCGTGCGTATGTGTATGCGCGTGCGTGCTTGTGTGTGTTTCTGTGCGCCCGCGCGTGTTGATATCTTTCATCGGTCAAATCCTATTACTTTATTTTTCATATTTTTTGATGTTTTTAATTATTCAGTTTTTCAAAAGGTTGCATAAGGTTTATTTTTTATGTATGTGTATGTGGAAAGTGAGTTTATTATGTGCATGTGTGTGTGTGTGTGTCCCAAAAGGCCACATGGGTGCTGGGGACCTAGCTGATTCCTCTGCAAGAGCAGCTAGTGACCTTAGCTCCTGAGCCATCTCCTCGGTCACTAGTTTATTTGTCAGAGTTTGACTCTTGTGTACGACACGATGGGGACATGCATGTAGACATGGTTATGTCCTATGATGTGCATGTGGAAGTCGGAGGACACTTGTGGAAGTGGTTCTCTCCTCCCACCTTTACATGGCTCCTGGGACTGAACTCAAATCAGCAGGCTTCCATGACAAACATCTTTATCCAATGAGTCATTTTGAAAGCCCAATTTCTTTTCCACGTGGGGTCTCATGTAGCCCAGGCTGGCCAGAAATTCTATGTAGCTGAGATGACTTTGAACACCTTGACCCTCCTGCCTTGACTAAGTGCTGGGATCATAGGCATGTGCCACTACGGCTGGCTTACGTGGTGCTGAGAACCAAATCGTGGGCTTGGTGCATGCTAGGCAAGCACTCTACCAACTGAGCCCCAGCCCCAATCCTAAATGTTATTGCTTTAAATAAACAAATATACAAACCCCCTTCGACCACGCAGGATGACGTGGATAATAGGCAGGTGTTCCACACTGAGCTGAAGACCCCGGCCTTTGACGTGATATTAGACTTACTCAAGAGAATTCGATCCTGGCCTAACTCTGTTAGATTCCTTCAGTTGGCGTGTCTGTGTAGGCCAATCAGCATGTTCAGGCCCTCGCTGCACATTGGGAACACAATCTTAAGCAGAGAGGCTTAATCTCTGTCCAGATAATCTCAACACCCAACGAAAAGCTAAGGCAGGTGTTATAAAGCCTATGTCTACTCAGCCAGCAGAGGTGGGCTGAAAGTTCAAGGCTATAAAGTGAGTTCAGTGACAACCAGGGCAATTTAGTGAGGCCCCCCTTGTCTCAAATAAAAAGTAAAGGTTGGCTTGGTATCTATAGTGCAGTGGGAGAGTGTTTGTCTAGACCCCACTCGTGAAAGGTTGAGGTATGGCTCAGCAGTGGAAAAATTACCTAGAATCCCCCAGTGAGGGGCTGGGTTGGCTCAGAGGTAGAGCCCTTGCCTAGAATCCCCCAGTGAGGGGCTGGGGTGTGGCTCAGTGGTAGAGCCCCTGCCTAGAATCCCCCAGTGAGGAGCTAGAGACATGGCTCAGCAATAAAGATCTTGCCTGGTGTGCACAAAGCCCTGTGTTCAATCCCTAGCAGTGAAAAAAATCCAATGAAGAGATAAAGATATCCCTAGCAAATGATGCAACAGAGAAATCTGGACCAGCTGGGAGGATGGAAAAGCAAAGGGAGCTATGGAGGAAAAGAAGAAACCCAGGCCAGCATGGGAAGAGGCTTTGGGGGGCTTTTGAAGGGGTCAGTGTCAGAACCAAGTGGGATGAACAGAAACAAGGAGCTGAAGTATGTGAGGGACTTTGTGTGACCTGCAAACTACAGAAGGGAGCAAGAGTTCCTGGTTCCTGATGGGATGGCGTAGTCCATCTGTGGGGACACATGGCAGCAGCCGTATGACTTTTCTTGCTCCCTGTGTGTGGATCAGGAATCAGAGAAAGGGGAACTCAGGGTTTGGCTGGCTTTTTCCTCCCCCCCCCCTTTTTTTTTTTTTTTTTTTTGGTTTTTCGAGACAGGGTTTCTCTGTGGCTTTGGAGCCTGTCCTGGAACTAGCTCTGTAGACCAGGCTGGTCTCGAACTCACAGAGATCCGCCTGCCTCTGCCTCCCGAGTGCTGGGATTAAAGGCGTGCGCCACCATCGCCCGGCTCCTTTTCCCCTTTTTTAGTCAGTCCAGGACCCTAGTCCCTGGGAGACTGCTGTGGATCTTCTGGAAGTCCTTTCGGGAAATGCCCTCATAGGCATACCCAGACGGCTCTGGGCAGTTGTTTTAGGAGGCTCTTCCTCAGAGTTTGGAGCATCACGGACCAGTTTTCACCAAGAAAGGGTCTGAAATCCCCCTAGGGATGCTGTGTGAAAGTGCTGAGGAGTAGAAGGGTTGGGGAGCCGGAGAAGGTAGGGCTGGACTGAGTGGGGAGAGAGGGGTGAGAGACAAGCACCCGAGAGCCATGTGAGTGAGCTGTGAGGCTGCCTGCTGGCGGAGTGTGTTCAATGCAGTCTGAGGCAAGCTGGGGGTGAAGACCCAGAGAAGCACGTGAAAAGCAATCGCCTGTCCCCACCTGTCCTGCCGCTGAAGGGACACCTGGAAAGGGCCATGTTATGAAACAAAGGATACAGAATTGACAAGAGAGAGCCATAGCCAAAGTGCAGCTGGGCGTGGTGGCTCACACCCGTAACTACAGCACTCGGAGGCTGAGGCAGGAGGACCTCTGCGTCTCCAGCCAGACTAGCTTACTAAATAATAGTGACTCAAAATATAATTTGGCTGGATGGTGGCACGCAGGAGGCAGAAGCAGGTGGATCCCTGTGAATTCAAGGCCAGCCTGGTCTACAAATTGAGTGCCAGAGCTACACAGAGAAAGCCTATCTTGGAAAACAAAGCAAAATAAAATGGAAGAAAGAAAGAAAGCCAACCAAATCCATATGTATAATATAATATACATACTAATTGTGTTATCATCTAGATTTTAAAGTCCTGGGCTAGCACTCGTAGGGCTCTAGGTTTGATGTAATAGGACACACAGTCCTAGCCCTTGGGAGGTGGAGGCAGGAAAATCCAGAGTTCCGAGTCATCCTGAGTTACCTGAAACCGTATCTGTCCCCGGCCCCCTAAGTGTTCGGTCCTGTTCTACTGCTGATGGCTGGTACCCTCTGAGCCTATTTCCCCATCACTGACTTGGGAGAATAGGAGATGTAACCTACGTCTGGCTAAAGCCTCTTGTTTCTTCAGGCACATTCCCAGGCTCACAGCCCCAAGCACCTGCCAGCCCCAATCTTATAGCGAGGCCTCCGCCCCCACCCCAACCTCGAAGACCCAGCTCTCCCAGGCAGGGACCTGTGAGCAGCGGGCGTCGTGAGTGCTACTTTGACACAGCGGCTCCAGATGCATGTGACAATATCTTGGCTCGAAATGTGACGTGGCAGGAGTGTTGCTGTACTGTGGGTGAAGGCTGGGGCAGTGGCTGCCGTATCCAACAGTGCCCGGGCACTGAGACAGGTGGGCATGCGCTGTGGGGAGACACAGGGCCCAGGCACTGAGATGGGTGGGCGTGGACTGTGGGGAGACAGGGGCCAGGCACTGAGACGGGAGGGCATGGGCTGTGGAGAGACACAGGGCCTGGGCACTGAGATGGGCAGGCATGTGCTGTGGGAAGACACAGGGCCCAGGCACCGAGATGGGTGGGCATGCGCTGTGGGGAGCCACAGGGCCCGGGAACTGAGACCGGAGGGCATGGGCTGTGCAGACACAGGGCCTGGGATATGGGGGCTGGAAAAGGGATATTAGGTCTAGGGTTGAGTTACTGAATCTTCCAGGAAGGTGGGCACCAGCGAGGGTAAAGCTGAGAAGTGGGCACTAACTGATCTGGGCTTTAGCACTTGGTAGGGGACTAGAGTCAGCGGGCGCGGGCAAGGACTGGGACTTGGGTTTCTGGGTTCATCCTTGCTTCTGTGTGCAGCTGAGTACCAGTCATTGTGTCCTCATGGTCGGGGCTACCTGGTGCCCAGTGGAGACCTGAGTGCCCGGAGAGGTAAGGCCAGACTTCAACCCCTAGGCCCATCTCTGTCGCACCCTGCCCGTTTCTTTCCCTCCTCCTTCCCTCCCTTCTCCTCCCTCCCTCCCCCCTCCCTCCTTCCCTCCCTCCGTTCCTGAAGAGTGGATCTCATTAGTAGCCCAGATTGCCCTCAAATTTGTGAGCCACCCAATTTCTCTTCTTCCTTCCTTTTTCTTTCATTTATTCTTTTTTCTTTACTTTCTTTTCTTTCCTCCTTTTTTTTTCTTTTTGGTCTTTCTTCTACTACTTCTTCCTCTTCCTTCTCCTCCTTCTTCTTGAGATAGAGTTTCTCTGTCTAAACCTGACTGTCGGGGAACTCACTCTGTATGTAGACCAGGCAGGCCTCAGGCCTCAGACTTACAGAGACCCATCTGCTTTTGCTTCCCGAGGGCTGGGATCAAAGGTGTGTGCCCCCATGGCCCAGTGTGTCTTTCTTTTCTTTTCTCCTTTTTAATTTGTGTTTTTGAGTACAGGGTCAGGTAGCCAAGAATTTGCTAAGCAGCAAAGGCTAACCTTGAACTCTTATTCTTCTTCTGACTTCCCCTTCTTGACTGGGATTGCATGTGCACTTCAACATACCTGGCTTCATCTTCTGTCTCTCACTTTGATTCTCTTTAGAATTTTCTGCCTCAGCCTCTCCTCTGGTCCCAGTTCTCCTTGTCTCACCTTCTGGGTGCCATTGCTATCTTCTTCTGTCGTGACTGGCCATCCCATACTCCCCTCGTTTCTCCTAGATCACCCCCCCCCCCCCCCCGTGCGCGCGCGTGCTCATCTCTCTCCACCTTTTCCTGCAGATGTGGATGAATGCCAACTCTTCCAGGACCAGGTGTGCAAGAGCGGAGTGTGTGTGAACACCGCCCCGGGCTACTCTTGCTATTGCAGCAACGGCTTCTACTATCACGCACAGCGGCTGGAGTGCGTTGGTATGAACCCCACCTTCCCCCACCCCCAGCTCTGGCCGTGCCAGTCCCAAATAGGAATGTGGCTATCCCAGCAGGAAGTCCTTCTGAAGTCTAGACTGCATCCATCACTCTTGTCAGTGAGCTGGGGAAATGTGAAACGGAGTTCAACCTGGTAACCGCCTCACTCCCCCGCCCCATACCGTCCTAGATAATGACGAATGTGCCGACGAGGAGCCCGCTTGTGAAGGTGGCCGCTGCGTCAACACGGTGGGCTCTTACCACTGCACCTGCGAGCCCCCACTGGTGCTGGACGGCTCCCGGCGCCGCTGTGTCTCCAACGAGAGCCAGAGCCTCGGTAACCCCGCCCACAGACCCGCCCAGCCCCACCCCCGACTCCCAGCCGCTAGATCCCTAGGCCACGCCTTCTTCAAGGCCACGCCCCCAGTGCCTGGATCTCACAGACACCCGCCTTCTTCCTCCAGAGCGCTGGCATTAAAGCCGTGAGCCACAATGCCTCTGGCCCACACTGTTTTGCTTTTGATTTTTTACCCCCGAATTATTATTTTGTAGTATAGGCTGATCTGGAACGCATAGAAATCTTCCTGCCTTGGCTTTCTAATTGCTGGGATTACCGGAATGAGAGGACAGGGGTTACTTCTCTTTTGGGGTAACCTGACCTGGTGGTTGAAGGTGAAAGTTTCATTGCTGGTCTTTCATTTTCTTGCTCTGTATACCCGCACACATTTCTTCGGCCCCAGGTTCCTCTCATTTTTTACATGCAGAGTCTCACTATGTAGTCCAGGCTAGCCCAAACTCAGATTAACTCTTGCCTTAGCCTCTCGGTTTCTGGATTTACAGGCCTGCTCTACTACAGGTCTCTCTCTCTCCACCTATCTTAAGTCTCTTTGTCTCTCATACAGTCTCTCCCCTGCTTTGCCTTGGTCCATGGGCCCAAATTCTCTTTTCCTGTTTCTGTTCCTACAAAAATTACTGAATTTTGAGGCTTCATTTAAATAATGGTCAGGGTGCAGGGTGTGGTGGGCGCACCTGTGATCCTAGCTGCACAAGAGATGGCTGAACCACAAGTTCTGGGCCAGCCTGAGCTACATAGAGAGACCACCTCAAAGATGAAAGCACAAACAAAAACAAGCAAACAAAAAAATCCACAAACACACTAATGTCCAGGGAAGTAAAACAATGGCCCTCATTTCACAGAACCCTCTGGAGGCTGGACTCGGGTCTGTGTGGGATGGCCCAAGTTCCAGTCTGGCCTGACACATCCTGTCATTGCCCGTAGATGACAATCTGGGAGTGTGCTGGCAGGAAGTGGGGCCTGATCTTGTTTGCAGTCGCCCACGTCTAGACCGGCAGGCCACCTACACAGAGTGCTGCTGTCTCTACGGAGAAGCCTGGGGCATGGACTGCGCTCTCTGTCCTGCCCAGGACTCAGGTACCGTATATCTCTGCACTGCCCCCAGGGGACCTCTTGGCATCTGTACGTCCATTGCAGCCCGTCCCAAAATCAACAGAAATCCCAAGGCCTGAATCACCCACTCCCACAGCTCTGAAATCTCTCACCTTAAATGCCTGGTTTCTAGATCACCCCCCCCCCCACCGCCAAGACACAACCTGTGAGACACCCCACTCCAGACACCCCACTCCAGACACCCCACTCCAGACACCCCACTCCAGACACCCCGGGGCCCTTAGATCCCAGGAGCCGTTGCCCACACACATCCCGCCCTTCAGACTCTGCTCATAGCCCTAACAGCTGCTGACGGTCATTGCCTTGGGCATCCCCACACCAGATTATCAAGATTCCAACACAGCCCCAAAGATCTCTGGTCCCCTCCTACTAGCTCCTTAAAAATATGAGCCCTAAATCCCAGGCTTGCTTCCTCCAAATCCCAGAGGTTCAAGCTCCCTTCAGGCACCTTTGGCTCTAAGTCCCAGTGTTCAGCCAGCCCATTGATTTTATAGCCATAAAACACCTTCCTCTCATTTCTTCAGGTTCCTCGCCCAAGCTCCCATGTTTCCCCAAATTCCAGCACCTTAGTCGCTGGACCGTAGCTGCAGTCTAAGGATACTGTATCCCAAGATCTCAGAATCCTAGAATTAGTCTGGAACCATCTGAAGCCCTCCCAGAGCTTTTCCTCTGTTGCTGGGGGAAGGGTACATGAACAGAGGGTACTGACCATGATATATCTTGGCTCCTGTTCACAGATGATTTCGAGGCCCTTTGCAATGTGCTGCGCCCCCCCGCATATGGCCCACCGCGCCCAGGCGGCTTTGGACTCCCGTACGAATATGGCCCAGATATAGGCCCACCTTACCAGAGTCTCCCTTATGGTCCAGACCTGTATTCACCACCTGTGCTACCCTATGACCCCTACCCACCCCCTCCTGGACCCTTTGCTCGTCGGGAGGCCCCTTATGGCGCCCCACCCTTCGACATGCCAGACTTTGAGGATGACGGTGGTCCCTATGGTGAGTCGGAGGCTCCGGCCCCACCTAGCAGAGGCACTGGCTGGACATATAGATCCAGAGACACCCGTGGTTCCTTCCCAGAGCCTGAGGAGTCCTCTGAGCGTGGAGGCTATACAGGTGAGTAGCGCTGACAGACAGTCAAAAAACACAAGGGGGTGGAGATGCAGAGAGAGAGAAGGCAGAAGGCGAGTCACGTTCAGAAATGCATAAGAGCAACTGATGGTGATTCATGCCTGTAATCCCAGCATTAGAGAGGCAGAGACAGGAGGATTGCTGCAAGTTTGAGGTCATCCTGGAATGCATAGTAACACCTAGGGTCTCAGCACAGCGCCCCCTGCAGTCTGGGAGCAGGAAGGCAGATTAGGATGAGACCCACACAGCCTGGGAAGCCAAGAACTGAAAGGAAGAAGGAGACAAAGGGACCTAAGGCAGAGCTCTCCCGGTCATAGCTCCTTGTGTTCTCTGCAGGAGCCTTGGCTGAGCCCTATGAAGGCCTGGAGGCTGAGGAGTGCGGGATCCTGGACGGCTGCGCCCATGGCCGCTGTGTGCGCGTTCCCGAAGGCTTTACCTGCGACTGTTTTGATGGCTACCGCCTGGACATCACCCGCATGTCCTGTGTTGGTGAGGAAGGGGAGCAGAGGGAAGAGTAGTTTGACCAGAGGGTGATCAGGAACCTCATTATAGACAGGAACCAGGCCATCCTAGGAAGAAGAAATTTATTCTTGCTGGGGGTGGGGCTTGACTGAAGATGACGTCAGAGTGGGACTCCTGTACATGGCAGAGCTGAGGTTGGGAATATGTGGACATTGTTTATTTATTTATTTATTTTGCTGTTCTGAGGGTAGAACCAGAGTTTGATGCTGTCTAAGCAGATGCTCTACCACTGAGCCATACCCCAGCCCCTCACTGAGGGATTCTAGGCAGGGGCTCTACCACTGAGCCACACCCCAGCCCCTCACTGGGGGATTCTAGGCAGATGCTCTACCACTGAGCCACACCCCAGCCCCTCACTGGGGGATTCTAGGCAGGGGCTCTACCACTGAGCCACACCCCAGCCCCTCACTGGGGGATTCTAGGCAGGGGCTATGGCTCACTAATCCATACCCCAGCTCCTGCAGATGAGGCTCTGAGAACTGTCCATGCTACCTTGGGCAATCTTCTTGATCTCTTTGCAAAACCACAGCCTTCCCACATGATTGGGGTAGTAATCGTGTCTGCCTGTTGGGGGGGGGGCAAGTGCTTGCAACCAGGAGCTGTGAGGGGATCCGAGACCCCTGTCTCAGTCTATCAGTTTGCTCTGTGGCCTGAGACTGGGCACTGTGTCTTGCTTAGCTTTCCTCATCTGGAGAAACAAAACAAAAATCCCACAAAAAAACACAGTGAGAGAGCCCGCTTCATAGAGTTCCTGTGAATGTCAGTGATGTCGAACACCCTGTGTATATGTTGGGGATCAAGGCTACATAGATGCCCCGGTGGCCAAGAGGGCTCCTGTTCTTCAGATGACCAGAATTTGGTTTCCAAACCCCACATTAGAGACCGGGCAGTGGTGGCGCACACCTTTAATTCCAGTACTCGGGAGGTAGAGGCAGGCGGATCTCTGTGAGTTCGAGGTCAGCCTGGTCTACAAGAGCTAGTTCCAGAACAGGCCCCAAAAGCTACAGAGAAACCTTGTCCCAAAAAAACAAACAAAACAAACAAACAAACAAACCCCACACAAGACACTCACTACCACTTGTAATTCCAACTCCAGGGAATCCAACACCCCCTTCTGGCCTCTGTGGGTACTGCATACAGGTGGCACACACATTTGTAAAAAATAACACATTAAAAAAAAAAATTAAAGAGGCTCAGAAAAGTGAACTGAGTTCCCCGAGGTCTCACAGCAGAAATAGCAGTGTGCTGGGCACCCAGAGACTAGGAGAGTGGCGGAGAATGAGATCCGTACCACGTGTGGCTTCCAGCGAGGCGCGAAGCAAGTGCGCCTGTGCTGGGCCACAGTTAGCATCTGTATAGCACAGAGGCGCAGTACCTGCCTCATGGGCTTATGAGGGAGATAGAATTAGTACAGGTTCCACGCTCACAGGGTTGACTGATATGTAGATATTTACGACTGTCCATAGCAATATTTTCTTTTACAGTTTTTCTTTACTATTGTTTGTGTTTTCTATACATGTGGAGGTCAGGGTACAACTCTGTGGCATCGGGTTTCCCCTTCCACCTTTACTTGGGTTTCGAGGATCAACCTCAGATCATCAGGCTTGCACAGAATTCCCTTTATCCCCCTGATCCATCTCACAGGCCAAAACACAGGGCTATTAAACCGCCTGCCTGGGCTCACACAGCCAGCGGGTAGCAAGTGATATGTTGCATTCCGTAGAAGAGGCTTAAGGTCTGTGATTCTCTACCTCAAAAGACCATGGAGATGGGCTTCTCTTCCCGAGTAACGGTCTTTTTACCCCTTCCCCCAGACATCAACGAGTGTGACGAGGCTGAGGCAACCTCCCCACTCTGTGTCAATGCACGCTGCGTCAACACCGATGGCTCCTTCCGCTGTGTCTGCCGTCCAGGATTTGCACCCACACACCAGCCACATCACTGTGCGCCTGCGCGACCCCGAGCCTGAGCACCTGCACTTGGCGCCCCATTACGCCTGCGCTCTGGGAGCTTCCAGAGCATGCCTGGCTCCCTCTAGTCCGCGAGTGTGAAAGGATGTCAGCCAGTCTGGACTTAGGATGGACAGACACAGAGGGGTGCCTTTCGCTGCTCTCGTCATTCCCAGCCCCTCCCACTAGCGCTTTGGGCCTGGCGTGGTCCAGTCCTGGGTCTACTGTCACATTCCTTCCCTTTTATAAAATCTTCAATTAAAACACCTATTTTGTATTTTTGGCCTCTGCCTGCCCTTTTATTTTCCCCAAAAGTTGGCTCCACAGTTTGCTGAGTCACTCAGCCACCCAAGAACGCACCATACCCGACGCCAAGATTGACTCTTACTTTCCATGACTCTCACCAAGTCTGGCCTTGTCCCTCTTGGCCCTCCTGTCTCAGTTTCTCTCTCTTGCCCGTCTTCTCTGGGCAACTTCCCATCTTTCTTTCTTTCCATCTCTTCTTTTCTATCATGCTCTTTCTAATATTCAGAGTTGCTGGGAGTGTTTGTTATTTTGTTTGTTTGTTTTTCTTCTAAGAGGTTGTTATGTAGCCTAACCCCGTCTCGAATTCCTCCGCCTCCCAGCATCTACGGTTATGGCTGTGCACACCAGGCCTAGCATGGAGGAGGAGGCTGTGCTCTATTCCCTCCAGGAGCCAGGAACATGAACACAAACTATCACAGGTAAGAAGGGGTGTCAGTACTCGGAGGCTCAAGACTCCTTGTCTACAGTGGGACCAGCATCACATGGTTTTACTATTGAATTGTACACTTCAAATGGTGAGGTCTGTGAATTATAATTCAATGAAGCTGAAAAAACAAAATTTAAAAATTGTGAGGGGCTTAGAAAATGGCACAGTGGTAGAATGCTTGCTGAAATTTCAGCAATGAAGAGCTGTGAAGCCCCTGCCTAAAATCCCCCAGTGAGGGGCTGGGGTGTGGCTCAGTGGTAGAACCCCTGCCTAAAGTCCCCTAGTGAGGGCCGGGGTGTGGCTCAATGGTAGAGCACCTGCCTAGCTTCTGAATGCCCTAAGTTCCCCTTCAGTCCTACCAAGAGGGGGTTAAAAAAGAAGAAAAGAAAAATAAAGTAACCTGTTCAAAGTTGGTTGGGAAATTACTCCTCCGCCCCCCAGCTGAGATCAGAGGAGCCAACCCAAACACTAACCTCATTCATTGAATCCATAAATATTTCCGTAGAATCTGGATGTGAGTTGAGAACCTAGACAAACTTTAGCTCAGTATGATGGCTGGCTGTTCGGCTGGGTTCCTGAAGGGCTGAGACCTCAATGACACAAGGAAACACCTAAGATAAAGAGGAAGTTGGTGCTCCAGAGTGCGGCAGCAGGTTTGTGAGGGCCTAGAGGCTAGAATGGCGGTGGGTTTTAGGTGCCCTTCTTTTGGTATGTCATTCAATTCTGTGTTGGACAGTGCTGGTGACATTTTAGGTATGGGAATAGGGAGGAAGAGAGAGGCTTGGAATTTTGGATCCCTTTTGGGAATCTGGAAATATCTGGATAGTTGGATAGTTCAAAAGGAAATACAAGCAAACAAGCAAACAAAATGTCATCAGGACAGTGGTGGTGCACGCCTTTCTTCTCAGCACTCAGGAGGCAGAAGCAGGTATATCTCTGTGAGTTCGAGATTAGCCAACCAGAGCTATACAGAGAAGCCTGTCTCCAAAACCAAAAAGAAAAAAAAAAGGAAGGAAGGAAGGAAGGAAGGAAGGAAGGAAAAAGGAAATGTAAATGCACTTGCCACCAAGCCTGAGAACTTGGCTTCAAACTCCTGAACCCATAATGATAGGAGCGACCTGCCTTTGTTACACACAGAGACAGTGTTTTCTTTTAAATTCATGCCCAGGAAGAGTTGACCAACACAGAACAGATTCCATGTTTTCGGTTTTTTGGGGTTTTTTTGTTTTGTTTGTTTGGGTTTTGGGGTTTTTTTTGTTTGTTTGTTTGTTTTTGGTGAGTTTTTTGTTTCATTTTGGTAGTTTTTAATCTTATGGGTTTTTATATGTTTTGTTTTAGAGAGAGAGAGGGAGAGAGAGACAGAGGTGAATTTGTGCGGGCAGAGGTGGGGAAGATCCTGGAGGAGTTGGGGGGAAGGGAAAATATGATGAAGATATATTTTGAAAAATATATAAATTTTTGGAAAAACAATCCATTGTAGGTGTGGACAATTCACAGATACTCCTGTTGTCCCCCACCTCAGCCACTTTACTGTACTGGTGTCGCAGGAGGGGACCGGGAACGGGGAGGCCATCAGTGCTGGAGGGCTCTGTCACCACACACACCCTCTCATCCCCCCACTGGAGGCTCAGCAAAGAATCTAGTTTTGTTTTCTTTTGTTTCATTCCTACATCCCCCCACATTAGTCCCCAGCCCTGGCTCTGGGGTTTTTTGGCGCTGACCACGATCAATGCGTTCTCCTCTGGAATGTCCAAAGAAATAAACCAGTTTGTCAGTGACCTGCACCGCAGCACCACGTGCCGGTGCGGCCAAAGCTAGGCGCGCCCCCTAGTGGCCAATGCTCAGATCGTCTCCCTGGGAAGTTGTCTGTCACCTTCAACAGCTATGCATAAACAGTGTTCTGAAAGAGGGTTATGGTACTATTATGCATTTGTAACCCAGCATTCAGGAGTTTGGGGAGATTGTCTCAGAAAAATTGCCTGGCATATTAAAGTACCCTAGGCAGCTGGACGGTGGTAGGCGCACGCATTTAATCCCAGCACTCCAGAGGCAGAGACAAGCGGATCTCTGTGAGTTCAGGGCCAGTCTGGTCTATGAAGCGAGTTTCAGGACAGCCAAAACTGTAACACAGAGAAACCTTGTCTCGAAAAACAAAAAAGAAAAAACAGAAAAGAAAAAGAAAGGAAGGAAGAAAAGGAAGTAAGTACCCTAGGCTATGCACTGAGTTCCAGACGACCCTGTCCACTCCTTTCCCGTTGAAACACAAGCAAACATAAACCAACATATGAATACTTGGCACAAAGACAGAACTGTAGACCCAGCTGCTTAGGAGGCTGAAGCAGGAGGATCATTTGAGCCTCAGAGTTTAGGACTAGTGTGGGTTACACGGCAAAACTCCACCTTACAGAACTGAATCTCAAAATAGACAGAGCTTAGGTCCCTGGCTATCTGCTCTGCTAGCTGAGTCATTCAACCTGGGTATTACCCTAGGAGTTAACTGGGTTTTTTTTCTTTTTGGTTTTTGAAGACAGGGTTTCTCTGTGTAGCTCCGGCTGCCCTGGAAGGGAACTAACTTTTTTGGGGGGTGGGGATCGAGACAGAGTTTCTCTGTAGCTTTGGAGCCTGTCCTGGAACTAGCTCTTGTAGACCAGGCTGGTTTCGAACTCACAGAGATCTGCCTGCCTCTGCCTCCAGAGTGCTGGACTTAAAGGTGTGTGTTACCACCGCCCGGCAGGGAACTAAAGTTTTAATGAACATTTTGAGATGTCCGTGTTGCAGTCACTTAGGCTACATTCTATTCTTAAAAATGATTCATCTTGCTGGGCGATGGTGGCGCACGCCTTTAATCCCAGCACTCGGGAGGCAGAGGCAGGCGGATCTCTGTGAGTTCGAGACCAGCCTGGTCTACAAGAGCTAGTTCCAGGACAGGCTCCAAAACCACAGAGAAACCCTGTCTCGAAAAACCAAAAAAAAAAAAAAAGATTCATCTTTGTTTTTACTTTATGTGTTTGTGTGGGTGTCACATGTGTGTCCCATGGAACCCCCAATGTTGAAGTTACAGCTGGTTGTGGACCACCTGATGTGGGTCCTGGGAAAAAAGCTCACATCTTCAGGTAGAGAAGTATGTGCTCTTACAACGGAGCCCTTTCTCCGGCCATAACCATTAGAGGTAATGATCTAATTGAGTGCACAGCAATCTCCCGGACAGGCCATGGGGCTTCAAATGTGTTCCTAGGAACTGCACTTCATCCCCCCCCCACACACACACCTCCACATGGTGGGCTCGGACGCAGGAGCGTAGGCAGCAAGCACTGTATTGCGGAGTTATAGACCCAACACAATATATCCCCTACCAGAATGCCGCTATGTGACCCTGACTTGTTGTGGGATATTTGATTACACTGTGTGAGAATGTGTCACTGTGATTGGTTTAATAAAAAGCTGAATGGCCAATAGGTAGGCAGGAGAAGTTAGGCGGGACTTCTGGACAGAGGGGAACTCGGGGTTAGAATCTAGGCACACAGGAGACACCAGTGAGACACAGAGGAGTTGGATGTACAGGTGGGGGAGAGGTAAAAAGCCACATGGTAGAACACAGATCAACAGAAACACGTTGATTTAAGTTGTAAGCGCTAGTGGGACAAACTTAAGCTAAAGTCAGGCTTTTATGATTAATAATAAGTCTCCATGTCATTTGGGGACTGGCAGCTTAAAAGAAAGTTCCACAAGAAAGTCAAACTACACTGCCTAGCCTGGAACTGTCTGTATATACCAGGCTGGCCTTGAACTCACAGAGATCCTCTTGCCTCTGCCTCCCAAGTGGCTAGGACCGTAGAGCTATGCTGGAATTAAAGACAGGCACCGCCACTCACTGCCTGCCTAATCTTAGGGGTGACGGGACTGCAGATGTAGCTCAGTCACAGACTTTCTGCCTGGTGTGCAGGGAGTACTGTGTTTGGTTATCAGGATCATACAAACTAGAGCTGGCTCAAGCCTACGGGGGATTAGAAAGTCAAGACCACACTGAGTTAGAAGTGAGCCTGAGTTAAAGGACTGTGGCGAAAACTGAAGAGAGGGACCAGCAAAATGGCTCAGTGGGTAAAGGCGCTTGCCACCAAGCCTGATGACCTGACCTCTATCCTAGGATGTGCATGGTGCTCCCTAATAAAATGTAATGACAATAAATAAAAAGCCGGGCACTGGTGGTGCACACCTTTAATCCCAGCACTCAGGAGGCAGGGGCAGGCGGATCTCTGGGAGTTCGAGGCCAGCCTGGTCTACAGAGTGAAGCTTGAGCATAGGACACCTCAAAGCCCACCCCCACAGTGACACACTTCCTCCACCAAGACCACACCCCCAAACAGTGCCACTCCCTTTGGGGGCCATTTTCTTTCAAAGCACCACAGGGACCTTGTTTCTGAAATATGTGTGACAGGGACGCAGAAGGGAGGGGCTGGGAAGGGGTTCAGCAGTGGCTGCTGCTCTAACTCGCTTCCTATGTCTGTGATATGATATTCTGACTGAGTAACTCGGGGAGGAAAGGA